GGGGGGGGTTGAACCGCTATTTGTCTGATCCGTCGCCTAGGACCTGTTTGCCTTGGGAGACCCTACCAGGGGCGTTAAGCCCCCGACAACATAGCTCCTAGGTTCATTCGGATACTCAAACCTCTCCACCACGTTAAGGTTGCGATTCAAGGAGAGGGTTTCCCTGATAAATGGTTTCAATTTCTTACATCAAAACACAGACACACACACACATAGATTAACCTACTAATTTAACTAATTTATTAACTCCTACACTGCCTCACATAAACATAGACAAAAATGGTTGTTCACTTGTTTGTCCTGAATTTGAATGAAGGTGTCAGGGATTAAAATCCAGTTTGGCAGCGTGAAGCGGGCTGCAAGTGTTCAATTAAATGTGAAATTCCAGGATCTCATTCGACACAGTAATATTAGTGACTGTTTGTTGTTGCTGCAGCCAGTAACTCATCATTAATTGATTGATTGTCATTTTTGATGTTTTTTTAAACAAACCTTTCTTGTGATTCTGCAGGAGTGCTCTACAAGTTTGTTTCTTCAAATCATTCAATCACACATTAAGACCCTTAATGTGTATTATAGCTGTGGGAACAGTCAAAAAAGGAAAGTGACCTACTTGTCATTGTGACACAGCACACAAACAAATGTGAGCTCTCCTTTTAACCCATCACCAAAGTCCCCAGCCTGGGGAGCAGTGTCATGCTCATAGCACCTCAGTGGCAACTCGGCAGCTAGTGGACTCAAACCTGAAGCCTTCTGGACTCAAGTCCACTTCCTTGACCACTAAGCCACCATTGCCCATAAAACACCGTATGTTGTACTTCGTACGGGTGCATTTCTACACCTTTTAAATGCCATTCAGTCAGATATTTTGGTCCATGCTTTGTTCTGTTTTACCTGCCATATACTGCAGACTTATTTCTGAGAAAAATAAATAAACACGAGTTTCACAGGATTTTTGAGCAAAGTTTTACATTCAACAGTACCTGGGGGTTTACGAACATGGATCATCACATTTCCCTTCTGCTGCATTCTACTCCGTTATTTCTTATTTTATTAAGTATTTGCTTCTTAGCTCCAACTATGCTGTTGAGTTCTGTGCCTATCGCAGTGTGTTTGCATTTGTGTATGTTTGACTTTGAATTTCAGACAGCTGAATCACAACCTTTCTCTATCGCCCCTTATCTCCCCAAAGGGAATCTCAGCAAGTTTGATTTTCTAAGGGCAAAAACACATACACACAATATTTTATTGAAAGCACAAGGCAGCACAGATAAAGAAAATATAGTTAGGGACTGAAATAATGTGGTGCAGGCTAAAAAACGATGTGGTTTATGATGCAATTTGATAGAAGTCAGGAAAGTACAATTTGAAACCATAGAGCACCTGAGAATAATAATAAAAAAAGAAATCATTATTTTTCTCAGATGCATAACACAGTGCACCAGTAAAGTGATAATAGTGGGGGCTGCAGAACAAAACATAGTTGGAAGATTTGCATAGAGATTTACATCCATACATGAAGAGAGCAGGAA